AAGGCTGTATCCTGTAAGAAAATTTATCACATTCATATAAAAAAAAGTAGGTAGGTATCTACTTACACCTATCTATTTTTCTTTTCAAGTACATAAATAAACTGATTTTAAATAACCTGATATCAGAATATTTTTTTGTATAGACAGAAACCCAGTATACCTAAATTTATTTTAACAAATTGATGAAATTAAATTTATATACTTATCTATTTCTTAAGAGACTATAATTTTATTTATACCACGAACAATTTAAACAAAGTAGGTGTAAAAATACTTATTTTTTTTTAAATAAATGATTATTACACCTGGCCATTTTCTTTAAATGAAGGTATTTATATAGGTATAGGTAATGAATGTATTTGTAATTTTGTTTTTGTTTACATTTTCTGTCTTGTTTCGTTACTTCAATACTAAAATAGATAAATTTTAAGTATTTTTTAAATATTTTATGACTTTAGATTTCGGCTTTTTATAATTTTACTCTATCCGTCCCTCTAGGTACCTATATAGAGAATTAAGATTTTAATTTTATTACTGATTTATTTAACAAACAATACCAAAAACAGAACAAAATATTATATATAAAAATAAATAAATAAGTATTTCATTTAATCCAATTCAATGAAGTTCGAAACCATTGACAAAACCGGTATAAAGAAGTTATAACACTACTAAATTCAAATGTCACCATAAGTTATTAATGTTCTTAAGTCGCTTGTGTACTTTTAATTTGGTCGTATTATCATAAGGCTACCCACCCTAATATTGAAAAACTTATTTTAAAGATGGCAGGACCGTAGGCGGTCGTGGTGTCGGTTTCGGTGAATGTGGGCGTGGCCAAATCAGACCGTGCCCTTTGCAAATGGCGCCGAAATCAACCAATCAGGACACAGGCTAGGCTTCCATTTTTAAATAAGTGCTCTCCATTGGGACGTATTCATATTTATCGGATGACGCTTCAGCTACCCTCGTCTTTGTTTCCATCTGAACAGAATTAAATTCTATTGGGTTAATTTATCTTTTAATGGATTTTCCAATGTGGTCTGTTGATAAAATTAATGTATTTCTCGAATCAAAAATACCTGATAATTTAACAATGAATACAATAAAAAAAAAATCAAATGTAATTAATTAAAAATTCACACCAAAAATATTTAATGTTTATTAAAAAGTCATTATCATAATTAAAAAACATTTTTGTAAAGAAAAATCATTTTGTCCCAAAACTCAAGTAAAATTATAAAATAACTTCTACATACACAAAAAATATAAGATGACACCGGCATCTATCACTGTTTCAAGGAATCAAACAGCCATTCCTTTGTCTTAAAGCAAACTGACCTCTACTTGATGATATACAACGTTCAAGGAGTCCCCAACAGATGTCGCTAGCTAGTGGTCATAAATTTTTCTCCGTAGTAAAATCCCTCGGGAAAAAGTTTCAACTGTGACGACTAGATGGCGCTGTTACACAAGTCTAATATAATATTGAACATGTATAAAATATGTTGTATTTATAAATGTTCTCTACAGCTTATGTAAATAAAATTTGGATAAATTTAAGTAGTTATAAAGTACTCATAAAATTGTAAGGAAGTTTTAAAATTTTTTTGAATTATTAAAATTAAATGAAAAGGTAATCATTAAAACTAAAAGATAAATTGAAAAAAAATGCATTGAAATACGGGTAATAGGTAAGCCAACCGAGATTTAAGCTCGAATTCCATCGGCTAACAATTTTGTAGTAGGTATACGATTATAAAATAAAGTTTATTTTCCTAGAAGTGCAACTCTATGTTAAATGTTTAGACATAACTTTCATTATTTAATAATTTTAGTAGAAATTAAGTGACATGACAATATAGGGAAGTATAAAAAATATACACGTCTGCTTTTCACATGAACCATTTTCAAAATATCATCAATTTTTTTATGAAATTAAGATTATGTAGGTTAAATATTACTTTAGCTTTAGTACATACCTTCCTAGGTAATCGCTGAAATTTTATTTCTCGGTATTTTTTAAATATAGGTACCTACCTACTAGATATTCTCTGTACGACTTCACTATATAAGTCCTAGGTATTAAATAAATGTTTAAACTAGTAACTGCTACTGCTACCATACTACTACTATATAAGAAGAATAGTATATAGGTACATTCTACTTACATTTCTATTATGGAAAATAATAATTGATCTCGAGTTAAAAAATAAGTTTATTTAAAATTTTGAAATCATTATTTAAATACAAAAATATTCTTTGTTCCTAATATGTGATATATTTAATAAGACTGCCTACATTTCTGCTGAGAGGCTTCGTTGGAAATAAAATAGGGGGAATAATTACAAGTTACCTTATAGTCGCTTCGTATCATTAAATATGTAAAACGCCTTGAGGGTATTTAGCCAGACGGAGGCTGTATTTTAAACATAAATAAACAAAAATGAGATGAAAATATATTTCGTTGCTTGAAAAAATATTTTCGGTAGTATTAGAAAATTTAAGAATAAAATATTATTCATATACTCTAAAAATTATTTAGTTTAGATAGATAGTTTTACTTATGTTATTGTTTTTTATTTTAAATTGTTGTTTGTTAGTTAATTTTTTTTTAATTTTTTTCTGCTTGTTGTCGCCTAATTTTGGATTGTTATTTTCTTACGCATGCTGTTATCACCTTTAATTAAGATGCCACCTGTTTTATTTTTTTATATCCATGTGTCTGAAATGTTCTTGGTGTGTATTCTTGTTGGTGATCTAACAAAATAAATAAAAAACCTAAACCTAAAAAACCTTTTCATATGAATACATGAATTAGTTAAGTATAATACTTAAATTATGCACTATTAAATTTCTTTCATATAAATTGTATAGGTATATACGTACCTATATATAGTGTATAGAAACATAGATAAAAACTGTATATCTCTGCTGGATAGACAAAAATAAAGGAATTTTCATTTAAATAAATTTGAATCTTGTTTTATAAGCAATAAGGTCTATTTTGTGTAACAGATCTGTAATTCAATGTTCCATGAAATGGGGTGAAGGGTGGTTGTATTGATCGGCGGCCATCTTTGTTTCGCTCGTACCGCGCATGCGCGAAATTTCCTGATACTGTAAATGGTATCTATAGATGGCGTTGATAATTTTATTAAAATTATATTTTATTTTGTTAATTAATTTAGTTTCATATAGTTTTTTATTTGTTTATACAAATAATAATTTATATGGAATGTGTGTTTGGTTTTAATTGTGGTGTTCATACCTATGTTTTGATGGCTACAAAAGTTATATTTTCTGTATTAGATTGCTATATTAAAAAATTTAATGTAAAATTTAATTTTATTATGAATTGAAACTTTACTTCATTAATATTAGATGAAGTGATGAATATGATCATTGATCAGTAACTTACCGACGGCACGTTGCCGACGGCGGAAAGAATTACTACGAAAAATACAATTACTTATTTTAATTTTATCATACAAATATATATAATATATATGTGATACAAACTTTTAACGTATATAAAGGTCTCTTTTAACGTATATTAGGTCCTTTCAGGAAACACGTACTTATATTCAAGTTTACAAATCTTATAGGTACCTAAGAATATAATATAATAAGCTCTTAAAACTACAAATACCTATCATGTATAATTTAATGAAACTAATATTTTTCGAATGTACAACGCGTAGTACCTATACCTATTCGAAAAATATTAGTTTCATTTAAATGAACACTTGAGAAAGTCTTAGACCTCATTATGTATATTTAATTTTTTTAAGATAAAATTTAAGATAATATTTAAGATTCCATGCTTTATTATAATAAGCAAGCTCAGACAAAAGATATTCTCTTAAATTATGATAGTCTTGAATCACGAAAGTCCCCTTTTATGTGTGTTATGAATAACGCCCGAGGGAAAGCAAAATTTTCCCCGCCGTCCGTTTTGCTTTGCATAATATTATTTTTTATTATACTCATACTATAGAATAAATATTTTTCTTGAATAATACATACATATTTATTATTAAATATATTGAATACTACACGATGTTGCATTAAGAATAATTTCAATTGAAAATTCAGTATTTTCTTTATTAATACTTATTTTTGAAATATAATCAATGTAATACAAAAATTATATTCATTATAGTATGAAAATATTACATCAAAATTCTATAGAACATAAATTTAAAGTCTAAATATATTATATCTATGTAAATATATCTATATAGGTATGTAGGTATGTATATATTTGTATAGCGGAGTCAGATCTCGTCACGTCCCGTAGTAATAAAACCCAGCCGTGGAGGGAAGTCGCTTTCTTTATACTTTAATACTATCTTTTTTCTTCTTTTATATATTTTTTTCCCTTTTTACGTTACCGCCGGGGCCGAGACGTGACGCTGTTTCCATAGAAAATTCCAACAATTCACAATATGTACAGCGGTTTTATACTTTGATGTCTAGATTAATAGATTTATGACGATCGTGAGCGAAATTCGCTATATATATAAAGTAATTTTATATCAAATTTTCTATAGGAAATAAAATAAAACAAATGCCATTACATAGGGTTGGTTCCGTAATCCTTTTAAATTCTCGGCGGTGGGTCGGTATGGGAATGGTAATTAAAATCTTCACTAAAGTGACGTTTATGCTGATGCGAGGATCCAAATTTAATTCTAACATTAAGTAAAGGCGGCACTTTAAATCAACGGATCCCTTAATTAACGTTTTGTAAGCATTTAATATCGATGCCTAAATCTGTGAGACATCTCATACATATTATACATTTAAACCTCGTGTTGGTAATAAAAGAAAATTTATATAAATACATTTATTTTTTTTCAATCCATTTCAATCTTATATCTTATTTCAATAGTGTTTAAGTCTGGTTTGGAATGCATTTTAAATTAAAATTTCTTTGGTACATTTTCATACAATTTTTAGATAGCAAAAATTTTTCGGAGATATATTAATTCTGATCAGATGCTCGTATTATTTGCTCGCACTGAAACAGAAAATAGTTATAAAATTACATATATTAATATTATTATATTAAAACAAACTTAATTTATACGAAATAATTGATTAAAAATAATCCTTACTTACAAAGCTTTATGTAAAATTAGAGTCGAAAAAATAATTTCTTGTTCAAGAAAAAGGCTTTTTTTATTAAAAATCGCCTATCACAATCCCTTCCTTATTGATTGTACAAATACTATGAATGATAATTAATTAATGAGTAGATAAATCTCAAAGATTTTTAAAGCAGATGTAAAAAATTCACTTATGTTTATACTCACATACTTTCTGGCATTTGCGCACCATTTTATAATACGATTTCAATTTTTTATAAGCATGTTTTTTCATAATTCCGATTTTACTTAATTTTTTATTCATTAAATCATAACAATATTTTTTTGATTTATAATTGCTGAAACTACAATGAGCAGATTAAATAAAATACTGTTTTTCTGTTTAATAGCAAAAGAATTATATGTATTGAATAAATTACCTTCTTCTCTCTCGCTTTTTCCTTTCTTAATCTCTTGAAGCTTCTTATAACAACATAAAAGTAGAACCAAACTAAAATCACAAAAGAAAAGTAAGCAAAAGAATAGAAAAACACGAAAAGGAAGCTTTAGCAATATAATTAGATTAGGTTAAGATAAGTTTTATAATAAATTAGTAGTAAAAGTAATTAGATTATAAAATATACCTACTAATACGACAATATATATAATTTCGTTATTAATATATATTAATAGTTATGTTATTTTTTCTGTGATGAACTCACTTGGATAAAATATAAGGCTATGTAGTGTCCAGGGCCAGTTTTCAAAACATTCACACTCTCTAAACGCAATACCTTCTAAAATAGCACCAATAAAAAAAGTATTGAGAACTTGACTCAGGAATATACAGAATAATAACACTGTTGATAAACATCTACAACAAGGCTGAAAATAATATATACTTAGAAATATATTTAAAGAAAAAATTCTATATATTACTTAATTCTTATAAACTCACCGAACAACATACAAGTAGGAATATTGTACAAATAAACGAAAGCAGAACATAAGGGAATAATATTAAACACCATAGATTTTTCATTACAATATCCTTAATTGGTTTAAATAAATCACTAAAATATTTATTTATATCATCAAAAGGATTGGACGATGTCGCTTGATTATAAATCGCTTTAAGATCGTCCAAATCCGATGCTAACTTTAGTTTGGACAAAAAGCAATCTTGCTTGCAAGAACATATTGTGATTACCGGCAAATATATGAAACTTCCTATGTATAGCTGAAAGTTGAAATCAAATATAAATTTGTAGTTAATTATGTTTATATTGATGTATACTAACCATGCCGCATAAAGCTACAATGAATGCTCCGAATTTCAAGCCACAACAGCAACAGAATCTTTTAATATAACAACAATTTAGCGGCCCAGAACACTCTATGACACAGGAATGTTCCATTGTGAAGCCTCTGCTTATAAAACCCATTATTCTGTTTATTTTATTTTCACACTTTAAATTTCTTTTAATGTTATCATGTCAAACGTGATGTCAGATATTTGACTGACAGACAGAACTCACGACTAGAAACCTTGTTAAACAACAGCTTTTAGTATATTTATAAAACGTGTGATTAAAATTATTTCAACAAATAAAATCGTTGATATTGGCAAAATATTTCACGATTCTAGGACATTCCGTAGCATAAAAAATCTATAATATTATATTCGTTGTCATGAGCCTATCCGAGCTCACTGCTGAGCAAAGGCCTCTTCCCACGCGGAGAAGTTTTGAGCATTAATCACCATTCCATGAGTTAAGAAATTGCATCTATTGTATAAAAATTTGTATAGACACTAATAAAAATAATATAAATTTAATAATATATAAATATATATAGGTATATATTAAAACATATAGGGCAAAATTGTGGAATATATTTTTAAAACATATACTTACCTATTTAAATAAAACTAATATATGTTTTACTGCGCGTTTTTACTATTTTAATCACATATCTACTCCCGACGTTTCGGTTACTTTGCAGCAAACGAAGTGAAAAAAAATCAGTTTTATTTAAATTATTAAAAAAAGTTGTTTTTTTGTTATTTTTCTCTACAATATTTAAGCCACTAATTTAATTGCAATAGGTACACAAAAAAAAAAAATTAAAGGGATATTATTTTATTTATAAACAAACATAGTATTATAAATTCAATGATCCCTTTTCATTTTCTTCAACTCATTTCTTCTTTGTAGCTCCTTACAATCACCATAAAGTAAAACCAAACTGTGAAAGATGAATATTATTATTAGGTAACATACGAGTATTTTAATTGTATTATATTATATATATATTAAATTTGTAAATAAATATTAATTACGAAAATAATATTTGATATAGTGAGAAATGATTTAAAAAAAGATATGCATTCCAAGTATAAGATTGAGTCATAACTTAGAAAAATATAATATATTTTCTAGATTCTTCTAGTATCTAATTTATAGTGGTAAATTCAAAATACTGATAAGTGATTTCTTAAAATATGTTCAGTTTAATATAGTGACAAAAAGTATTATGGACCTTTAATCATCTTTTACTATAATTTAATTTATCTATATTCCAAATGTAAGACACTTATGAAAAGTACAGAAATATTAATACATTTAAATGGTTTTTACTTACTGGGGAATAATATAAGGGCTGATAGATACAGGGAGTTCTGGCGACATCCACTGTCTGTGATGATAGCGACCACAACAACTATGATACTCGCCAGATTTACAACAAGGAATATTAGGATGGCGAGAAGAAATAGTGTCGCTGTGATCTCGAAACGATCCTAAGAAAAAATATTAGGTAAATTATATGGCTGTAAAAAGGCTAAATAGAAGTTTATTATATTGCTTCCGAGTCGCATATATAGTTAAAAAAATAATCTATGTTTAAAAGTTATTCAATAGTTTAGGGGAAGAGAGTGTTATTTGAAATATAAGTAATCAAACGTACATATAAAATCCATAATATGAATTAAAAATATTTTATAATTTAATTCTTACCATACATGCTGCTATCAAGAATATAATGCTGGCTATAGCAAGAAATGTATTTGACGCTATCGCAGCAAATGAGAAGTATTTTACTAAATCCGACATTAAACCAGTTTGATCACCACATAACTTAGCTAAAGACATGTAGCCGAAACTTCCAATACCTATCTGAGGTTATAAATTAATTAGTTATTAATATTACAACTAAATTATTTAATAATAGATAAAATACTTACGATACCGCATAAGGCTATAAGTATGGCGCCTATTTTGAGCCTCACACAGAAACAACAGTTATCTACTGTTGGTAGAAAGTCGAACATTTTTATATAAAATATAATCAAATATATATACAAATATAAAAAACTATACTAAATATATTTCAAACTGACAAGCTTGTGAGAGACATGCCAAGATATTTAAAAGAAGAAATATTTTTGATACTAAGAAGTATTTAATAAATAGAGAGCTCATATAATATACTACAAAATTATATTCCAATAAAAATATAGTAGCATAAAAATGAATAATTACAAATAAAATTGGGAATATTTATTAAGAATATTTACAAGCAATAAAATATTAACAAGACATTGGATTGTACCCAAGACGATTTTGGTATGACGTTTGCATTTTATAATAATGACTGAGAAAATAAATTTTACATTTTATCTTCGTAGGAATTGACCACAATAATGAAATAACACCACACTGAAATGGAAATATAACATAAAAAACTTAGAAATTACTTTCATTTTAAATGTTTAAATTAGTTCAAAAGAAGTCTACAATCATTTTGTCAGATAGTTAGAAGCTTATTACTACAATATTTTTACAATCTCTCTTGTAATTCTAGAATTTGAATTGCATTTAGTAACTTATGAAGATTCAAACTATATCTATTATTTTGAAATTTATGGTAGTAATTAAATAAGTATAAGAATTCAAAGAAATAAATGTATATCAATTACTTACTCATTATATATATGATCAAATGGAATATTTGTGAGGTGTACCACCTACAATTAGTGTATTGTTCTTGTACCAATATAAGTATCCCATATAGAACTGACATGATGCACTTGACTATAGCGGTGCATATTAATACGTCAGCTGTTACACGAAATGACTGTAATAATATTAATATTTCAGTTAGTTCACGACTATTAAAACATATAATAATCCTCAATACATAAAGAACGTTTGACATTACAATGTAGAGGATTATTTAAATTCAATAATTTCACTTACATAGAATATTCCCAGCAAGAAACCGAATATGCTAGCAAGGAGTAGCAATTCAGAGGAGAATAGTAACCATCTAAATACATTGGCTACTAGTTTGATTGGACTTGATACTTCGTAAAGATCCTTGCAAGGAGGTATGCATAGAAAACCTGCTGTATTGACGCCTGTGATCTGAAAAAAAAAGATATGTATATATATATCCTTTATTGCACAAAAAATCAAGACAGAAAATAACATAATAGGAAAAAAAACATACAAAAAGGCGGACCTATCTCTAAAAGAGATGTCTTCCAGTCAACCTATGCATATAATTATTTTAACCTGTAGGATATAATATTAATTATCAATGTACTTTTGATAGGTTGTTGGTTGTTATTTTGATTAAGTTTTCTATTCGGTTTCTTATATGGATTTTAATTTCTACTTTAAATATTTCTTAATAGAAGAAAGTCCAAAGTATGTAAAAAAAGAATTGGGTTCTCATGATGGACGTGAATGTTTGCCTAGATTTATTGGATCAATTAAAATAATAATTTTAGTTAATTTTTTAAAACCCTCTCACCATTCCCACAACAATAATCGTGAAAGAGGCACATTTCAAATTTCTTGTACACCAACAGAATCTGTTTACTTCTGGAAGAAATTTCAATAATCCCATTGAGATCACATATATATTTTAGTATACATCAAACATTTAAGTACATTTTATGAATATATACAAGTTTTTTGCAAATAAAATAATTTTATGGACGTTTTCTTTTCTTACAATTTACTATCAACAAATGTCATGTGATTTAATGAGACGTTGAAATACTTTTTGGTTGTTTCCGAGCTTATTTTTCATAAAACTGTCTTGTTTTTGTTCACATAGATTTTAATTTCCATTAGGTATTTTACTAATATATCAAAAAACTATATTTCTAGAAGAAAAAGTATTTTATTTCAGAGTACGTCGTTATAAATTTGTATAATTTATAGTTATTTCTTCATTGTTAGTTTCTCATAAGTGTAAATGAATTGTATATTGTGAATATCTTCAAGACTATTGGTTTCTACATATAATGGTGTGGTTCAAGAAAGAAGTTAACTGGAATTTTTATAATTTAAAACTATGACAATGATCTGTAAATGCCATTTTTCACCAATCTTGTATAAGATTTTTTTATTTACTATTCCGTCAGAAAAGAGGCATGAACTACGTTATTTTAATTAGTCAGTCAATTTTGTTTATTTATTTTATTATTATTTTTGTATTTTATAAGGTAGGCTTTGAAGTAAACAAAGAAATACAGGCAAATTTATTTTATTACAAAAAAATCTTTGTCCCTTTGTCTTATTACTTGCTTATTATAAAGTTATATTATCACTCCCTTCATTTTGTAACTTCCCACGAATTAAATGCAGTATCTTCTATGCCGTTCTTCGTCTGTAGGACAACACCACTATTAAATAGTAGTTCCACACTGAAATTTAGACATAATAAATTTATACACAACACGAGTACCTCAGTAAACCATAATTAGTAAGGAATCCGTATATGGTTAAAAATCCTAAAACCAATAAAACCATTTTTTGTACGATCCTATTTTCAGGAATATGACCAAGAGACTGGTAATACGAATTCACTACAACTAACAAGTGCATCCATACTGAAAATAAATTAAAACATTGTAACCGAAACCAAACGCTATCCAAGCTTAGCCATAAATGGACTATATGTTAGGTATATAAAGTTTTAAAGAGTTTTCTAATTAAGTAAAGTATTTATTTAAACTAACATAATAAATCTACAATTGCAAAAAGGAACTCTAATACTGGAAAGTTGCCGCTCACGAACACACAGAGGCACACGTAAGTCATTCCATAGAGAAACGTCAGGAGTACGGAAACTAGACCAGCTACCAGAAATATATACGTGGCATTCAAGTCTGAACCCTGGAATAATACAAATTATATTAGACATATAATATACTAACTAAAAATAACACTTACATTACTGAGACAATTATTAAAATACTGTTTATTTAAATTAAACTAATATTCATCGGACTACGCGACTTTATTTTTGATAAAAAACTACATACTCCTGACGTTACAGCTACTTTTCAGCAACCGTTGTAAAGTCACGTAGTGTATCCGAAAAATATTAGTTTCATTTAAATGAATAAAACTCGAAAAAATCTTAGATCTCAAAATATTTTTTTTTATGGAAAGCTTATTTAAACTAAGTTAATTTGTAGTTTAAAGGACGGGTATGTTTGCTTACCTGAAATAACCTCGTTAATAAATGTACACTGCTAACAAGGAATACCACGTCAGCTATAAGTACTATCCAACCGGTGTATTTGATAAAGAGGATGAAACTTTCTGTAGACTCATCTTTCTCTGGCTTTTCACCCTCCCTCAACGTATTATTTTTAGGTTTTGCCAAACAACCAAAACCCATTCCAGAATTTCCACCAAAACCAAAACTTAACTGTAATGTTCATAATATATTAAAATGCGAACTATATTATTCAGTTTATAAGCTAAAAATATATCAGGCTACGAAGATTCTAGTTGAAATATAATATTTTATCAGGATAATAATAAGTATACGTAAGCCACGTTGCTATAAATTAGTGCTCACTAGGAGCGCCGCTAGAGATTGCTTACCCATATAATATTAAAATAATTACCCATCCTTTATCGTCATCATATAAATAAGGAAACATTATGTTGTATAAAGCTATAACGCGTTATATTCTAAGAATCTTTGAATATTTACACCATTATTTAGATTGATATCAACTACGTCGGGGCTTGATGACTTCGCGGTCAAAGCGCAAGTTACTTTGATCACATAAGCATGTCTCACGATCGCCCACGACACCGCTGGACTCGTCACCTAGAATATACGCTTCAAATATTATACACAAAAATACGGCACTGGAATATAACCCTTATATCATATTATTATAAAGTACATAATGATCCAATACAATCTTAAGTGTGAGAGAATGAGCACTTAAAAGTAACAAGTGCAAAGTTATTAATTTTAAATCTTTGCTATTTAACTGTAATTTGGATATTTCTTTATTTTATTTATAGAATTAAGAAAAAAACTTCGATATTAAAATGATCAGAGACAGCAAAACTAATTATACACACACCCACACACACACTTTTAAACCTACACACAGAAATATTCTTGATAGATTAAATAATATATATCTTTTGTTATTAAACAAAAACATCTTACAATCCCTAAAACTGCAATAATCGCAGCTGCTGTTTTCAAATCTGTGACACAACCACAACATACTTCTAATTTTGGTATTCTGTCCAACAATGACATTTTATAAAATTTAAACAACCGTTTCCAATAATAAAATATACAAAATTTTAAAGTGTGAAAGTCAATTTGACAAGGCATCACAGATCTTATAGAGAATTACAACAGACAAATATTTAGGTAATTAAAAAGAAGGCTCTAGATTGATATGAGTTTGAATAAATTTCCAATAATGTTTGTTTCCAAAATTTATAACAATAGTCGAATATTATGCTGAGTTGTTTAAGTAATAACTGTTTTATTCTATACAATTTCTTATTTGTTTGAATCCTAGAGTAAACATTAATTTCGGGAGATATTTTAATAGGTGCGTTATAATATAAGGTGAGCAAATAGTAATTTTCCCAAGAATTCCATCGTTATGCTTGGCTTAGTTTAAGCTCCGAAAACCGGGGATTTCAGCGTTATTGCGTTCAAGGAAGCCTCCGGGGTTTGAGGCGGGAGGGGGGGATGGAGGCCTCTTAACAAGATTACAGTGGAGATAAAACGGCTGATATAATGGCGGCGAACTAAGCCGGCGGAACCCGGCTCTAAAACGAAATTAAAATCAATGCTATGCACGGAATTTAGAAGTCGCATTTTCCTTGCCAGTAACAAAAAAAACATTTCTAATTCCATTTGATTGTGTATCTGTTGATGTTTTATACAGCTGAAGGTTAATTAAAAAAAGGATTTATATCAAATTATTATCTATCTGACATTGAAGTTATGATTTATTATTCACTATTGTTTTCACAATCGAGGCTAAACTGTGAAAGCTTTTGAGTATGTGCGTATGAGGTAAATACAGGTTTGAACACACCCCGGTATCGATTTAACGGTTGTTTCAAATTCAATTCGTAGAGTGGATATAACAATAAAATACGCTACGTTCTGTTTATCATCTGGCATCACCTGAACCCAAACGTGCGTGGAATAACTTAGCTTTTACAAATACAACATTTCTTACGAAAAACGACTATAACAAACATGGTGGAAAAAGAAAAATTATAGTGACCTCTTCGTAGTAAATACCGAATATTTGTTGATGGATTTTTTTACGTTCTAGTAAAATAGATCTTAAACAATATGTATCTATTGATCAGATGTAGATAAAATGTTATATACCAATACAATAAACTATTAATTCTAGACGTCTGACGTCTTTATCGCTGGAATAATTCTCAGAAGACACGATCTGCCGCAAATGTGGTTGTCTTCTACTAGGAAACGTCAAAATATTTCATATGAAGGACTCTAAATATTAGATCTTACATACATCTTCATTTTTATGTTCGACCTTTTTGTTCTATCCGAAGATCGCGCCTCGAGCTCTAAGCAATGTGGGTCTCGTGATAAATCTAAAATTCTTACTTTATTTATTAAGTTGTATGACGTTTTACGACGTTCCTCATCGGGACGTTCATTACGGGTTTGATGAAAAAAAAACTTTGCCTGATATCTTTCTACAACATTAATTGCAAAAGTTTCCTGCTCCCTCTTAAATTTTTCGTGGCGTCCTTAATTATGTATTTTACGATTCCGGGACGAGAGAGAAATAAGAGAGATGTCAGTTCATTTTCAGTGATAGAAACTCTTATATTTTAGAGAATATTATACGTGATTCAAGACACGATTCTGCGAACTTTATTTCGGTTATTCGGGACATGCACAAAAGAATTCTTAGTGTGATTGGTACGTGCCAGAGGGTTGGTATAACCGCTGTTTACTTCAACTAGGTAAATATTTAATCACATACACGTGTGACATTACAGATCAAGTTGATCGTACACTTGTAATATTTATCTCCAGTATAAGCTTATCTTGATGCTAAAGAGGTAGGTATGTATATTTTTATTATGATAAATTAACTATACAGTTTTGAATTGAAAGAGAACCTTCTTAGAATAATAAAAAGGAAAATTTACTTGAAAATTTAAATGATAATAAATATTTAACTTGACTTTTCTGCTTAGGTATAAGTTACACATAGAAAGATAGAAAAAGGAAAATGAAAGAATTGGTTTATCCTATTTAAAGATAAAGTATTTTATGATCGTAATATCTTTTCCGATGACGATATTCAAAATTTTCTATCGAACTTATTGGGTCTTAATATTGGAAAAAACACAAAAATTACCAAAATAAGATTAATATAATGAGAAGGGAGAGTAATCATATCAGAGCCATAACTTCTTGTAAAACATAATGGAGATTTTGACAGGGCTGCGATGCGGGGTCCCATAGGTGTATATTAACAAAGGGCGTAGCTTTCAGCTTAATTTATGCCACAATAACTCAACCAGACAGCCCTAGAGTTATTTAGATGTTCAGAGCAACATTGTCGTAATTGGCATCAACCATCCTTTACTTGCTTATATGTATATATGTACCTAAATCAATATTGTTCGATACTTTTTGGTTTCAAATAAAAATAATGATACTGGTTCCAATATACTTTCTTTATCATTTTAAGTCGGATTCTTTCTATATAAATTACATTTTAATCTACATAATCTCAGTGGCGTACACGTAAAAGCGATTTTTGAAAACATAAAATGTTTATTTGGTCAAATAAGTCCGGATTTTATATCTATACCTTAATATTAACTGTTAAGTAAAACATCTAAAGGGCGGTTCACGCCTTTGCTTTTTACATTTCTCATTCTGATAAAGACATGTGAAAATGGACTTAAAATATTTTATAAAGAGTCCATTATCGAATGAACGTTCCAAAGATACGACCTTCGTATATTACGGTACTGATGCTTCGGCTAAACGAAAACGCTCATAATGTATACAAGATATGGTTTCATGTGGCAGTTTGTTATGAAGTTTATAGTTGAGTCGGTTCTAGTTACAAGCTTATTGGAAGAAAAAAATATGAGGCGAGAAGCTCAGGTATTAAGTATAATAATTTAAAGATTGACTTGATTACGTACGGAATTGGTCGGTCTACAAGAAAAAGATGGCGGGCGATTGAACTGTTAGCTTACCTATATATTATATAGAGGAATAATGATGAATAATATAAGATGGGAAAACATGCTTGTGAAATGTTATTAGGAATTTTATTATAACGTTCGTAGCCATAAACAGGATCTAGTCCGGAAAGCTGGAGCACTAATTTTATTATTAAACTAAATTGATCCAACAATATTCTGTATTTCTAGTTTAATTGAAGTCAATAGTATTCATATTTTTCATACCATCATAATTACATAACAATTAAATAAACTTAACTTAATAATGTCGGAAAATATTAATGAAAGAAACGAATATTTATTTAATATAATTTATGATAAAACTACATCGATATTCAAGCCAAAATAACATCGCCGAATCGCGAATACATAAACATTGAATTGTAGTCTTGATCTGTTCAAGTAAGAAGGGTTTCCCCTTTTATTGCAATGAATTTGCATATAAAGTAACCATCGAAGTAAAACGATTTCGGTTCGATTCCGTGCTGCTTTCCGTATTCATTGTTCGTGAAGGCCGTGGATTTGCGTCCTGTTTTATGACCTAAGATGCTTTCATTGCGAATACATAAATATAAATATTAACCATAATTCCTTATTGATTTATATGAGAAGCATTGTTCGTTATTTTTCATTATTCTGGTGCTAATTTTTATAATTTATAGATTGAGGAAGTTTTTTTTTTGTTCGTTTCAGATAACTGCATCGTGGAATTATGGATCAATAAAAATAGGTAATTATAAATTTTACTATTTTATTGTAGGTATTGTATAATTTATTTTATATTTGTTATTGTAACTGATGTTTGAAATCGAAATTAACATTAAAACGCTATCCGTATTGAAGCACGGAATTAAATAAAAAATAAAAAGAATCTGTGAAACTTTTTAAAATCCCAAAAATCATAATATATGATATTTTATTAAGGTTATAATGTATTCAAAATAAAACACTGACCGTTGGGCGTTTCCAGAGATAACAAATAAAAATGATATTTAATTGGACCCGATAACGTGTCACGACGACTTGGCCAATAAACCCTCTTTATTATTATTTCTTAAAGCATACGTGCTGTGATAAACATTATAAAATCGTTACACCCATATCTTTAGGCCGCATTCACTATATTCAAGTATTATTTTTCGTATTTTTCATAAAGTTTTTTTCAATATAACAAGTTGGTTACAAGCAATTTACGCTATAAATGTACTAACTGATAGATAACATTGAATTATTTATTAAAATTACACTACCGTCGCGTCGGCTGATCGCCGTCGGTCTATAAATCGTGTTAGCTTTAATAGCTAAGATGGCATCTCAAAAATGTGTATGCTATCGTGTTTTAATATTCAAACACGGACTTTGTTGTCCGCTGTACCGTCTAGTAACACCAGGCAGATAAAAGCCGCTAAGCACAATAGCATTTAAGTGATAGTTATGGCAGTCTTTATAGGCAGTTAGATTTATTTTTACTGCACTGTTTGTTTTAATGCGTTTTTCGCAAGTACAGAGGTCGTGATTATTGCTTTCTCATTCATTTATTTCAATTCTCCGAGATATTTTAACAGTCTGTTATACACGCTTGTAATTTGCATTGTTTTTTGTTTGTTTTATTTCTTTATAGTCAATTAACATAATCTATGTATGATCAAATTGTTGTTGTATTTTAACGAAGCGAAGATTAACAATGAACATGTAGTTCTGAATTCCTTTTTTTATTTATCGTATTTATAATCAGATGTAAAGATATTGTTCATATTTTAACATTTATCAAATATTTGAACAATTTCACTTATTACATGAATATAGTAATAAAAATATTGTTTTTGTATTGTATTATATCATGAAATTAATTATTATTTCTATGATTCTATATGTTTGTAGTTAGAGCGTATATTTATATGGCAAACACCATCATCATTTATTAGGCTGCGGTGGCGAACACACATCGAGCCTAATCAGGAAATATAGAGCAATAAAACGACCAGGGACGGTATTAATGAAATTATACGAATTGCAAATGGAGGTAACCTGGGGACTAAT